AATTTATTGATTAAAAAAACTGCAATTAGATTATTTTCTAAAATTGTTCAGCCCTACTTCTTTACACTTTCTTTTTCAAAAAATACAAAAACTACCAGAAGAATCTGCCTCATCCATTTAAGGCTGACATAAGTGACGGCACTGTCGTGTCATGACTGMGATGTAGAGGTTTTCTTTGCTCACGCTGAGGATGTTTTTGTTGCTTTGTGGATAAAACTGCTGGGAGATTTGCAGGATTTCTTGGGAAGAGTCTCTTCATCTCCTGCCTCCTGCATCACCCTCACTGCCTCGGCCTTAAGAGCAGCCTGGAGAAACCCTTCRGCACACTGAAAAACACAAACACCGGAGGAAAAACGTGACTGTAAAGACAACAYGAGTCTTAGAATAAAAAGTGCAGCTAAAAGATTCACACCTCAGCTGTGTTTTCCGTCCCAACGGTGGCAGCCAGYCTCCTGCAGACGTCTGCGACCTGCTGCTTCCTCAGCAGCGCGGCGCTCTCGTGGCTCGGAGCGACGGACAGCGAGAAGCTGAACAGCAGGCAGAGCGACTCGCTAACTTCGGAGCCCAACGGAGCGCCGGCTCCTGCGAGCGCACAAACGCACTCGAACATCTGCGAGAGGTAGATGGACTCAAAGTCCGAGGGAGAGACGTGGGACGACTGGAACAAACTGCGGGTCAGCTGGAGCAGCTCGCCACCGTAGGGTTGGTTCTCATTTGAGYTTGCTGCCGACGTGCGGGGGGTCGTCTGCAGCAGGTGGAAAAAGGCCGTGAAGAAGTCGTGGCTCTGCAGCTCGGGAAACTTGCTCAGCTCCACCAGTTTTCTCAGCAGCACCATGGAGGCCACCCTCAGCCGGGTGTTGCCGTTAGCTAAGATGAAGCACGCCGCCTCCCAGACCACACTCAGGTCCCGACAGGAAACGACCCCCCTAATAGAGTCGCTGATGATCGCCAAAGTGACAGCAGTCAGCGACTCCAAGGCAGCAGGGCAGGTGAGCATGAAAGAAGTAGGGGTGAGGTACGAGGAGGCGCAGGCYGGACTGGAACAGAAGTGTTCCAGGTTTACGGGCCACCTGTTCTTGTCTCTGAGGCCCTCGCCGGGTCCTGAACCTGCCAGTGCGCTTRCATGAGCGTACAGGACATCACCGAGCTCCTGGGACAACAGTATGAGCTCCCGTGTGAGGCAGCTGAAGATGAACGGCACCCGGACTCTCAGAGTGTGAAGCAAAGAGCACAGCACGGCAGAGACGCGTCCGTGAATGACGTCGCAGCCGGGCGCCGCTGCGACACGGAGCAAACGCACCGCCACCCACTTACTGAAGTCTGGAACCAAAGGAGAAGGGAAGGAGATAAGGAGCAATCCAAGCTGTTATCTGTGATTATTTTAAAATGAACATCCCAGTTTGTACCAGTGCAGCTCCGTGTGGTGTCTGGAAACTCAGCCGGCTGGCAGGCAGGGTTGGCAAACATCAGAGATGAAGACTTGACAATATGCTGCACAAAGTCCAGCAGCATCACACAGGCCGGCTCAGAACTGGACTTTTTGTTTAGACCTAGAGCAACTGKAAAAAAGACACGATGAATCAGCCTAAAAATCTGGACATGGAGAACCAGTGAGCCAGCAAGATGAATATTTACGATTTTACTTATTAAAAAATACCTTTGAACTAATAGTTACCATCAGGTTTATTACTCCTGAACATGTCTCTTWTCATTACTTTAGATTCAGAGCTGCTGAAGAACTAACGATTTAGTTTTGATTGATGACTGAATATCATGCACTAATGTTCCTAAAACTTTTATTTTGAAATTCCAGACTTTTCCAGACTAAAATTTGCATATTTTTCTTCACTATTTTAAAGTTGTTTTTCACATCAAAKCATTTGTAATCTGTGTTTGTGCACTGGTGCAATTTGTTATTTGTATGGATAAGTTAATATAACTGATGTTGAAAAGGTCCAGAAGAATTTATCAGTTTTATTAGTTTTACAACACATCTTGAGGGGATAACCAACAATTATTTTGTGTAAGAATTGTTGTTGTTTTTTCCATAAATACTGCTGTTTTCAAAGATTTTTTTAAAAGAAGAAACTGCAACTGGACAATTCATTTTGCTTTTTTATTTTATTTTATATGAGAAGTTTTTTCAATTCAAACGAAAATATGTTGAGT